CAGATTGTTTCTGCTCCAGCCGCGGGGATAAATTTAATAAATAAATAAATAATAATAATAATAATAATAATAATCATCATCATCATCATCATCTTTCCTCATATTCAATCTTTTGTGAACCTGCCCACTGCCGTAGGCAAAATTTTATAAGGCAGCTGTTCTGTATCATAAGGAAGTACAGCCTGTACTCATAGCAATACATGTAGCCCCCAGACACCTAGCAAGCAGGTCTTTAGAACTCCTCCAAAAGTTATCACTAAATCATAATTTGTAATATAACAATTAAATGTATGGGAAGTAAACATAGTAACCAATTTTAATTAATGCTAATTAAACCAAATTAATTCTTATATCCAGTTCTGGAAATGCAGCCTTTCAAAATCAAGAACAGCCCTTAGCTTGAAAAAAAAAGTTGCACAGTCTGCTTTATTCACAGACTTTTATTCCTTTGCTGTAGCAATATCCTAATTACACTTAAAAAGGAGTAGGTTAAAACTAAGGGAGAATCTTTCTTGCTATATGCTAATGAGTAGTGCCTCACAACTATGTTGCTCAGCTCTGTACAAGTCTGTTTTACTCAAGAGTGTGAGTACATTTCAAAAATGTCAGTATTAATGCAATAGGATGAATGTTCTTAATCTCTTCCAGTTGACCATCCTCCAATTGAACCCTCGAAGTTTGTCACAGTTCCTCCAAAACACCCTGAGAAGATGGGATTTGATGAGGTAATAAAAGAGAAAATGGCGTTTCACTTAGCATGCCAACTTTTACAAGAGTGAAAAAGGCTGAGGCAAAATCTAGTAGGAATTTGACACAGACCTCATTAACTTTCAGTACTGAATGACTAACCCAGCCTTCCCCAAGCTAGGGCCCTCCAGATGGTTGACTTCAGTTACTGTCATTCCTAGAAAATGTGGGCAAATGTTATGTTGGTCCGGAATGATGGGAGATGGAAACCAACACATCCCAGAATATATCAGGGATCAGTGGTGGTTCATGAGAACATAGTGAATGTAAAATGCAAAATACTTGCTTCTTTTTCTAGAGCAAGCAGAGATTTAATACCTACTGTGGAGTAGCATTAAATGTTACAAAAATCAACCTTCTAAACTTCTTTTTCTTTTATATGTGCTATGGGAAGGTCTAGAAAGGCACTTAGGGGAAGAATTGATAGCATGATGATACTTAATCCATCCCTTTCCAGCAATTCCTCATTGCAAAGGTTATGTCATTGGTTATGAATTATTCTTCCTGGAGCCCACATGCTCCAAGTACCTACATTCTAGTCTGAGGATTACCACCCAGTTTGAAAGCCATTGATGCAGGGACACACCATATAGCTAGATGAAGAGATACTCTGCATGACTCTTTGTGCACTGAATATAACCTGTGTCACACAAGGCATTTAAGTTGGGGAGGGTAATAGGGAGAGGGCATGACAAAACCCAACCATGGCTACTTGCCTTTAACTCTAAGCATCTGGATTTCTGAGAGGTCTCCGTTGATCTGATTTATATGGTTAAGTATAGGGATGCTGTTTGATTGTGTGGTGGCTACACCATATATGGAATATGTTTATGAAGATTCTCAGTCATCTAGGTGGAATTGTCTGGAGGTTGAGTCATGGCAACTGGACTTCTTTTCTTTTTGGTTAGAGACGTTTCGCT